GAATCATATGGAAGCTGTGATTTAATCCCTTGGTGAGTTGTACAGTCTGTACAACTTATAGCTTACCTTGCCTTGCCCTTAAATATTAATTTTTTTCCCCCTAAATCTAACAAAACAAAACAGACAAACCAAAAACAGTTTTGAGAAAGCCTAGGGAGTTTTAGTTATCATTTCCACTTCAGACTGAGTTAATGTTAACATTTTTAGGAACCTAAAAGTGAAACTGGCACTGATTCTTTAAAGAAATATTCCCAGGCACTCAAACTAATAGAAGCCTTCAAAAGAATCAAGTGTTACAGCTTCAATGTACTTAAAAAATAAATTTGAAACAGCAATCTTAACATTTTAGAGCTTCAATCTGTAAGATGTGGCTTGAATGTCTGCTTCTTTGGCCCCATACCAGTGTCTTTTTGAAAAGAATTTAAATCATCTACAAAGATGTATTCTAAATGTTTTTTAAGACTTTATTTGCTGAAAGTTGTCTTAAAAGGAGGCCATTAAAATATATATTCCAAAGATTTGAAACTTTTAATTTTTTTTTTACCTTCTGTCAGTTGTTACCTTCTGGCAGAATTGGATTTCATGCCTCCAACTGATGGCACCGCTGTCTGAGCGCAGTGACACTTTCTTGGTTTTGCCTCCGTATTGCCATTCACTGGGGGCTCTCATGGACTTAATAGGAACTCCATCATCTATGGATATAAAGAAACAAACAGCCGGGATTAGCTGAAATGGGAAATTGGTTAAAAGGCCTTGGGAGTCCAGTTGTGCTGTTGGTTGGTGCCTTGCTAACTTTAAGTCTTATTTCTCTGCAAGGCTGAAGTAGGCATGCTTATTTTACATGGATAAACAGCAGAAAGGTCTTAGGATGGGCCATCTCTTCAGATTTTGGGGTCAGAGGGCCCTGTCCAATGGTGTTAGGAGGCAGAAAGTAGCTCTTGGTTTCACTGCTGACTTCCTCATGAGCTCAGCAGGCAGCAGGTAAGGAACCAAATCCATTCAGGAGCCACTGCTCTGCCGTGCTTCTCGCTTGCCCTGCTTTTTGTGACCTTCAGGTTCAGCAAGCTCTTAAAGTTAATTATATCCCTAATTACTTAGTAAACTTGTTTCCAGATACTGTGAACTGAGACAAGGTTTGAATGTAAACAGATGTCCTTCTTTTTTTGCTGCAGTAAATAACGTTAAAATGTTTCCTGACCATATCTAGTTGGTTGCAGCTATTGAAGTTTAGAAAATCCAAAGTATTTTTTGTTTGGCCAACTGTAGGCCAAGTTGTAAGGTAACATTTTTAATTTCCAGTTCCTGAGCTTAGTTTGGGTTAGTACTGTTTGGCTTTCATACAGCGTTAATTATTGTCTCAGAGATGCTGAGATTCCAACCTTTCATGAAAAGCATTGAAATGTATTTTTGACAAGTGATAGGAGAGTCTGGGTTGCACAGTAATTATTTAAAGTAAATATGTCACCTTTTTTCAAGTTGCTAACTTCAGTCTGTATTTCAATTGAGGAATATTGAGGATTCCTAAAACGCAGATTTCAAATGGAAGTATTTTTACCTTCATAGAACAACATTATCACAAAGCAAACTTGTTCTTCCAGTCTCACCTAGGCTGCATAATGCTTGTCATGGAAACATCAGGGCAAAAGTATCACGAACAATTTTATTTTCCTGCTCTTGTCTTTTCTGATATTTGTCTGATACTTGCAGTTCTTTTTACTTAGACGATGGAAGTATCTGGAAGAGATGCTTTGGCTTGAATGTCATCACTTGAAAGCTTTGGCTCCAAAAAATAAGCATTACACAGCTCAAGTTACTGTTTCCTTCTTTTTTATTTATATTTTGAATAGCACTTACAAGAATATTGTGTAAATTAACAGTCATATTTTCCAGAATTATTCTTTTGTAGCTCTCTATTGAACATCACAACAAATGAATTACAAAAGATACAAATTTCATTGCTACAGCAAAAGGTTTTATAAGGAGATGACTGCAATAATCCAGTAGATTTTTACGTTTCCATTGCATTCAGCCTGGCAAAAAGCATCTTTTTCTTTGATATCTTTTTGATATCAAAGGCCATGGTTGTAGATTGTTATTAAACTGTCCTAATTTCTTTGTATGCCATGTAGCTGTATCGATTAAACATCAGCGGAGGAAATCAAAGTTAGTTTTTGCTTACTTATTTTAGAAAAAGGAAATTTGAAGTAGCCTTACAAATTTAAAAAAGCAGTAAATGTTCTTTTAGTTTGAAACATTGATGACTTTTCAATATACAAACCCACACAGAACAATATGCTGTTACAGGTGAAAATTTTAGTGTGGTCCTAGAATTACTGAAGTGTCAAAGATGCCCATGTCTGAAATCATACTATCAGTTTCAATTAACATCTTGAAGTTTGGGGGATGGTTTGAAAAAAAAAAAAAGAGAAAAGGAACCTTCTTATTTGTAGGCTCAGCTGTGTCCTAAAAACACAGAGCCTCGATCTCCTTCTCTCAGCTACCAAATCTGTCTCCTTTCTGTATGTGATGCAGAGTCAGGTTTCCTACATGTCTGAAACAGTTCTCCTTTCTCTTGGCAGTGCTAGGTTTCCTGATTACAGCTGTGATCCTTTAGGCACCAAGGTAACTTCACGCACCATCTGAACCATGCCATTACTTTGCTGAAATTACTGTTGCAGTCAAGGAAAATAAACAAATGCATAAACTTGTTTGGGTTGGGATCGTCTGTTACTGAATGATGCAGAAGGCAGAACAAACATCACTGTCATTGCTTAATTGGAAACGCGTGTTTAAAAAGTTGGCATTTGAATGATATTTTAGACTGTTCTGCTATTTCACTATGGATTTATTGGGTAGGGGTAGCAGAGGGAATGCCTAGAAGGAGCGGCTGACAGAAGGCTGGGAAAGGGCCATCACCATGGAGATCTCACTTCTTCAGAGAGTCATCTTTCTCCTAGTTCTTCTATCCCTTCAAACTCATCAGTTGGTTCTTCTTTCACTGACCCAGTACAAACCAAACCCTGTAAGCATATGCAGAGGGGAACTCAGTAACTCCACTTCTCCAGCCCTACTGGTCCCAGAGTTCTGCTGGTCTCATTTTGGTCTGCAAGCTGCTTCAGTTTTGGGTTCTACTTAAAGGGATCATTGGATCACAAAGTTGTTCATATGGCTAAACAACTTTATGCAGTGCTGCTGCAGCCTTTTGTTCGCTACCTACGCTTTCTTACACACTGCTCTTCTCATCAGACCTGGAACTAGTTGAACAAAATTAACAGCTTCAATGAGGTACATATTTTCCTTACAAAAGTAGCTTCATTTTCTACTGTTAAGTAGAAACAGGTAAAAACAGTTTTATTAAACACCACTTTTTTGTGCCTGTGTTAGAGAAATAAAATTGAAAATTACCCAAACGTTGACATGGGATTTTTTTAACAAGTACTTTTTTGTTGGTGGTTGACTTTGGTTTTGAGTCCAAAGTTTTGACTTTATGCGAAAGTTACATATCTCTACTGTTGTTTTTGCCTGCTTAGCAATTATCCTGTATAGCACTTATGTATATCAGATACGTAGCCTGAAATGCTGTGTAACAGTTGAAACTGTGCAAGTGGTATCATTGAGAAATGCAGATACTTTGAATTATTTTTTCATTCTTGCAAAAGTTAATTCTTTAAGCTCAAGAGGCATTAAGATTCACAGCTCTGCGCTTCCAAGTGGTAGGGAATAAAAACAGCACAGCATACCAACATCACAGTTAGTGGTGGCAACTGATGATACATGCCCCAGGAGATACAGTTACACTTCTAGGAATTCATTTCCAGTTAGTGATCTCTTAGTCCTTACCTTTTCTTGACGTAAATGCAGAGATTTAATAGCAAGTGCTATTTAAGTCATACATTGGAAAAAGAAAAGTAGGAGGGTATGTGAGGTGCTGAGTTGTTGAATATAGAGAAGAATGAAATGATCCTAGGCTAGGAATCTGTCATTATTAACTGACAGTAGTTAAACAGAAGTATTTTAAAGCGTTTATATTAATGGTGGATTAATTTTGTGATTAATTAATTTTGTGGTTCCTGCATAATTTAACATTCTGCCATAGTGAGGTTAAGAAAGCACTTTTGATTTTTTTATCTGTTATCAAATGGATAACTGGTTCTTCAGGTCTGAGTATTTCCTTTTAGTTTGTTGGTTTTGTTTTCCGCAAGTATATGTAAAGTGTAAATTGAATTCTACAAGACAGAAAGTATGTAAGGCTGGATTGCTGACTCCTAAGTGGGTGGTACTTTAAATGAAGAACACTGTGTCTTAAACAGAGTGCCGAGTACTGTTTGGTTTCTTTCCCTCTCCTGTTACCCTACCAAAAGCTAACCTTGTGAGTACTTGGCAGCAGAGGTGATTTTGGCTTTATTCAGAGTGAATCCCTTATGGCCTAGGAGATGAGGAGTCATCATTCTGGGCAGCTATGGAAAGATGTACTAATATCCACTGAATATGGATGTTCTAGGAGGTGTGGCTTAATACATGGAGCTCCTGGGAAACGCTGTCTTGACCATTGTTTATGTGTTCATTCATCATATAACTGCTTTCTTTTTTTTTTTTTTTCCAGTTCATGCTAGTACGTATTTAATATATTTGGAAATCTTTGTGACAAACTGAAGAGCCAACAGAGTACTTACTATTTATATTAATGGGTGTTATGATAGAAAATTGTATTGACATTCTGTGATTGGAAGGAGTCTTAAAGGATTTTTCTGTATATACCAAATACAGTTTATTCTATTAATTATATGTATAATATAATATTAATTAAATTATATTATATTATTAATTATTCTATTAATTATTCTATTAATTATATGCACATGATACACGTGTATCATGTGCGTACCTGTTATATGTTATATCCTAGTGGCTGCCATTTCTGCATCAACTTCAGTGCGCTGAAGTTCACCCTCCTCCCTTTTTGTCTACCACAAAGTTGATTTTTCTTTTTCTATTGGCAGGTATTTAATTAGTCAAGGAGCACATGTAGGAGCTGTAAATAGTGAAGGAGACACCCCATTAGATATTGCTGAAGAAGAGGCAATGGAAGAGCTGCTTCAGAATGAAGTGAATAGACAAGGTAATTTTAAATGTGAAAGGCTGGTTTTGTTTGTTGAATGCTAAATATGTTTTTGAAATGGTATCTATAAATTAACTATTTTGAAGTCAACTTTTTTTAAAGAGAATTGTTCATACTGTGTACGTTGCTGAAGCTGTCTTCTAGGCATTTTAGGTCATCCCAACCTTTTCAGAAGAAAGAGCTTGGAAGTACTGAACGCAGATGTTGGTTGGATTCCTATATTCACACAGCAGAATTTATAGTGGTATTTAGATAGTATGGATGGTGTACCATCCGTTTGGGGTGGACTCATATATCCCAGTTTAGATTGAGTTTAAAGCTAGACATCTCTACTGAAGGAAACTACATTAGAGAAGAGGTAAATACGTATTTCTAAGAGTGACTCAGATGTCCCTTTTACGATGAGATGAATCAGCTTGAAGGTAACTGTTTCTTCCATTGATACCCTGGAAAACTGAACCAAAAGTAAAAAACTATACCCTGTCATGTAAGCAACCCTTTGTATCTAGTTTTGACCTTTTGAGTGCCGCTACACAATGCCAAATATCTGAAACTACCTGTTAGGATAAGGAGTCTTAAATTGCTTTTGTTTTAGCTCTGAGAGCAAAAACTAATTCCAGTAGTTTCTGTGCTCACCTGAGAGCACCATACAGTTAATGGATAGGTATCAGGTTTTGATAGTAAGATTTTAAAGTGCACATCCTAAATATGTGTGCTTTACTCCTAGAAAATTAGTAGGGCAAATCTAGCAGTGCTGACTTTATAAAAGAGATTGGCCTTCAAAGAAGAATATTTATTCCTTTTTCTCTGATACTTTTTTCCTCCTTATTCTACTATTTCCCATTTTCAATGCTTATTTTCCAGGGAAAGATATTTGGAAGTCTGAGGTTTTTCTGTTCCGCATAGGAGAGAATATTCAGATGGTGTCTCATTGTCTCAAGTCTTATGTAAGACGATGTATTACTGACATGACATGAGGCATGCATTACTGTCCCAAAGCTCCAAGTACAAGAAATGAGATGATGTGGTCTAAGTTAGATCATGCTCTGAAGGAAGATGGCACTCAGTAAAGACAGAGCCTTTGTGAGGGATATGTTGGGGATCTGCATCTCCATCACTTCCAACCACCTTCCTCCCTCTTAACAGCCTCCTTACTCCATGAAAATGTTACTTTTTTTGTAACAGAGAGTTTGTGTCTCTAAGATGGATTTACATAATACAGTAGTAAACAATTAATTGCTTGAACCTTAGCCATGATGTAATTTGAATGTTTAAACCTGTTCAATACCAAAAACAAATGCTGAAAAGAAAGTGGGTGGCGTGATAAACAGAGGTGCTAATATGTAGAAGACTGTAGATTTGACAGCTTTCACTCACATATTACTGTTAAATGAATTTTAATTGACAGTTCTTATAGTGAGCATGTAAAGATCTCCAGATTAGACAGGCTTGAATATTTTTGTGCGAGTGCAACCGTCTGTCTATTTTAATTTAGTTTGGGGGAGAAAAAAAAAGAGTGCAGCTGTTCTTCTGTTTTTTTTCCAGAAGAATGCTGTCAATCTTTGCTTGAGAGTTATGTCTGACTTGTAGATCAACCTAAATAATTTAGGTGGATTTCGATGCATTTGACTTTACTGACATGGCAGTAATTGACAGTAGTTTACAGAATCATAGAATGGCCTGGGTTGGAAGGAACCTCAAGGATCATGAATCTCCAACCACCCTGCCACAGGCAGGGCCTCCTCATTTAATACTAGACCAGGCTGCCCAGGGCTCCATCCAGTCTGGCCAACACCTCCAGGGATGGGACATCCACAGGCTCTCTGGGCAGCCTGTTCCAGCACCTCACCACTCTCTCTGTAAAGAACTTCCCCCTGACATCCAACTTAAATCTTCCCTCCTTCAACTTAAAACCATTTCCTTTAGTCCTGCAGTTATCAGCCCTTTCAAAGAGTTGATTCCCCTCCTGTTTGTAGGCTCCCTTTAGGTATTGAAAGGCTGTAATGATGTCACCCCGCAGCCTTCTTTTCTCCAGGCTGAACAAGCCCAGTTCCTTCAGCCTGTCTTCAAAGGGGAGGTGCTCCAGTCCCCTGATCATCTTCATGGCCCTCCTCTGGACCCTCTCCAACAGTTCCCTGTCTTTTTTATGCTGGGGCTCCACACCTGGACACACAGTACGCTGGATGGGGTGTCACAAGAGCAGAGTACAGAGGGACAGTCACCTCCCTGTCCTTGCTGGCTCTTCTGATGGAGCCCAGGATACCATTTGCTTTCCACGCTGCAAGTGCACACTGCTGGCTCATGTTCAGCTTTTCATCCGTCAGGACACCAGGTCCTTCTCTGCAGGGCTGCTCTCAAGGACAGCTCCTTCCAGTCTGGGATTCCTCCGGCCCAAGTGCAAAACTCCGCGCTTTGCCGTGTTGAAGCTCATCAGGTTCACCCGGGCCCACCTTTCTAGCCTCTCGAGGTCCCTCTGCATGGCATCCCTTCCTTCAACCGTGTCGACTGCACTGCTCAGCTTGGTGTCATCAGCGGACTTGCTGAGGGTGCACTTGATTCCTACATCGATGTCATTGATAAAGATGTTAAAGAGCACTGGTCCCAACGCAGACACCTGTCCACCTTGACATAGAGGGTGGTCATCAATGGTTCTGTCTGCGGCCTTTCAACCAGTTTCTTATCCATCGAGTGGTCCACCCATCAAGTCCACATTCCTCCAATTTGGAGGTGAGGATGTGGTGGGGGACCGTGTCAAAGGCCTTGCTCAAGTCCAGGAAAATGACATCAGTTGCCATCCCTTTGTCCACCAATGCCATCACTCCATCATAAAAGGCCACCAGATTAGTTAAGCATGACTTTCCCCTGGTGAAGCCACGATAATGTATATATAATTATATGTTTTAATGCATATTTTTACAGTGTAAAGAATCAACATGCAATTTTATTTTTATTTTTTATTGAGTTTAATTATTTGGAACAGCCCAATTGGAAAATCAGCATTGGCAGTCTAAATGCCACAATTCACTGAAAATGTCAGACATATATTTTTTATATACATATACATTTATTATATATACATAGGTATATTTGGAAGTGGTTTTAATGCTTACTTACTTACAGGTCTGTTACAGGACTTGGTAACATTGGTATTTTTTGCAGTTAAACCTATCTAGATTAGTTCTGCAGAGTTTTAGCCTAGAAATTTCATGTACGTGTTGTTTTATGTGAATTTATCTTATTATTGTTTTATCTGTATGGATTGTTATGTATGTATCTTCTTATATGCATGTATGTGTATATTCTACCTGGCTTCTTTGGCTGTTAGACCTCTAACATAAAGCTCTAAAATTAAGCTCTAAAATAACTTAATTGTTTGTTTCAGTGTGGAATTAACACTGATGTATGGTGACAGTTTCATCTTTGACAGTACGTACGGTTAAATGCTTTAGCATTCCTCCTCATAAAGCAGTACCACAGTTTAGGTAAAACAAATGAAGTGTGAAGTCTGCAGAACATTAAACCCCAGTTCAGTGCTACAGGTAGTAGAACATAAGCAAATTTACTTTGAAAAGGAGCAAACTCAAGCGACAAAAAATCTTGGCCCTGTGTAGGTAAAACATTCACTATAGCTTCTTTTTTTCCCGTTAGTTAATGCTCCGATTATGGCTTCCTACATGTTGATATCAACAGGGCTTTTTGTGGCAGAACATTGCCTGGAGAGATCAGTCTGATTCATTGTGATTTCAGATATTTTGTGGTGATGATGTTTGACATTTGCTTCTGTTGGAAATTTGGGGAGAATTACCACGTTAGCTTATCCTTTTTGCTGCTTCAGAGTTGAAGTCGGAGTCTTCTAATAGTGCAATTATTCTGTCTTCATCTCTTTCTTTATATTTTTGACCAATTTTTAAAACCATTGAATTGTATTTATAGACATATCTGACTACAGCACAAAATGCACAGTACTGGGGTGCATTAAAAAGAGCGTGTCCAGCAGGTCGAAGGAGGTGATCCTCCCCCTCTACTCTGCCCTGGTAAGACCTCATCTGGAGCACTGCGTCCAGTTCTGGGCTCCCCAGTACAAAAAAGACAGGGATCTCTTGGAAAGAGTCCAGCGGAGGGCCACGAAGATGGTGAAGGGCCTGGAGCATCTCTCCTATGAGGAAAGGCTGAGTGAACTGGGTCTGTTCAGCCTTGAGAAAAGAAGACTGAGAGGGGACCTGATCCAGGTCTATAAGTATCTAAGGTGTGGGGGGCAGAATGGCGAGGCCAGACTGTTTTCAGTGGTGAGTGGAGACAGGACAAGGGGAAACGGCTGGAAACTGCAGCATAGGAAGTTCTGCACAAATGTGCACAAGAACTTCTTTACAGTGAGGTGACGGAGCACTGGAACAGGCTGCCCAGGGAGGTGGTGGAGTCTCCTTCTCTGGAGATGTTCAAGAGCTGCCTGGATGCCTACCTGTGCGACCTGCTGTAGGGAACCTGCTTTGGCAGGGGGGTTGGACTCGATGATCTCTGGAGGTCCCTTCCAACCCCTACAATTCTGTGATTCTGTGAGATGTAAATTACAGAAAACAGTATACAATTTAGCTCTATATGACATTACAGGCATAGTAGAAAGAGGGATCCAGAATGTTTGCTCATCCTGTTCAAGCATTCAGACTCCAAAATCTAAACTACCTAGAGAGGAAATGGTCATCTACCCAAATTAATCTCCTGTTTTACAAGGCCAATGATAAGGAGTGTTGTACATGAAAAAATAGAGCTTATGTATTTACTAATATCTTTTTTCAGTTATTCTGGAGTTCTTGTGCAACACTTCTCAGTTGTGACCCTTGATTCACACTTCTTTTCTTATAAATTTTCCTGTGGGCCACGGTCCCCTAAACCAGGACACCTTGTATTCTGGGAAGCATATATAAAGACTGGTTGATATAGGCTTGCTGTCATTGTGAGCTGATAGACTGACTGCACTATAGGCAAAGCCACAGCACTCTTAC